TTAGAGGATACATTCATGAGATAACCAACCAAGGACAGGTGCTTCAGAATATTAAAAAAAACAAAAAAAAACACATGAAGAAGTGATGACTAAAAAATTAATAGAAAACATTACTGAACGAAAGAAAGGTCTGAAGATTCAAACTGAAATGACTCTCCAAAATCCACAACGGAAATAATGGAAAAAGAGACGTATCTAAAAATATGTGAACTTAAAGGAAAATCCTTATAAGCTCCCAGATAGATAAACTAGGTTACTACAAACAAAAGAGAATCAGACTAGCCTGAACTTATTTGAAACACTAGAAGAAGTTGAACAACTGTGGAAGAGAATTAATAGAATATTGATAGAAAACATCTGAAAATCAAGAATCCTTTAACCAACAAGGTAATCTGTACTGTGGAGGGCCCCAATAAACCATGCCTTCCAGTACCCTCACCCTTGTTTCATCTCCTCCCACACTGAATCTGGGCTGCTCCAGCCTCGGCCAAAGGCATGTTAGCAAGCATGATGCAAACACAGGCTCAATAAGCACTTCCACATTGGGGCTTGTCCTCTTGAAATGCCCACTCAAGGAAACTGCAAGTGGGGTCTGGAAGGGCATGAAAAAATTGCTAGTGGAGGCTGGAGAAAGGGGAACCTGAATATCTGCTGATAGAATAATTACAGAAAATGCCACTTGGAGTAATAAAGATCTGGCTGAGGAGACTTCTGGGGAAAATGTTAAAATACATGTGAAAAGTCCAGTTGACACATCTGACAGGGGGAAAAAATAAGCAAGGATATAGAGAACTTGAATAAATTAATAAACTCAATTTAACACATGAAGAACTTTGTACCATACAGAAAATGACTATGGAACATTTAAGAAAAGCAGATAATTGGTGATGAAGGAAACTGATGAACACCTGACATATCTGAACATCTTAAGAAAAGATTTAGACAAATGGCAGAGATTTGAGGATTGGATTAGTGTCAAGTAGAGGGGAAAAAAGAGAAATCTGAAGAAAAATGTTATTAATTCCAAAGAAAACAAAGAAGTTATCCAAGAAGGAAATTAATCATTTTTTACATAGCTCAGCCATCAGTAGTGTTTACACAATCATAACAACTTAACACGATATTGGTCTAACCAAAAATTATAATACAATTACATTGGGAGAACGGGAAAGCTCTAACTATGGCCACATTCCTGTGTGCATGTGTATGTATGTATGCATCTGAGTGTAGGTAGAGAACTAAATTTTCATCATCCAGAGTGCAAATTCAATACATTAGACCTCAAACTAAAACAATGTGTAAGTAGCAAAATA